GCGAGGTGCCTCGAGATGCCGCCCCGAGACACGGCCACCGGCGCCGCCCCCACGTGGCCGCCGGCCTCAAGCAGCGGAGACCCCGTTGCCAAAGTACTTAAGTTCCCGCGCCCCCCACGTCGGGGGGGCCCTTCGAGTGGCCCCATCGGGCCTCTCAGGGGTGGCGCGGCGGGCCCGCGCCCACTGTGGCTGGCCGACCACAGGGCAAGAGGCTCTCCCACAGCCCCGTCGAGCTGCAGCGACGATCGGGCTGCTAACCCGCCTGTTTTCTCGGGGCGCCAAGAGGGCACCCGGCGGCGCAGGTGTCGCGTCTCGCGCGGCGAGCTGGGCGGTCGCCGCGCCCGCCGCGCGCAGCAAGCGGTGACTCGGGCCCTCGGGGCCGATCGTGAGGTAACCAGACACTATCGCGGAAGCTGTCGAACCTGGCGAGGGGGTTGTCGATGCGCTCCTGCGACAATCGGTTGAAGCTCGTCAGGGCCGACGCCGCCTGCGCGCTCTTCCTCTGCAAGCTGCCCCCGCCGTTCGGCAAAGCAGCGCGTGGGGCGGGTCGTGGGCGGCGCTGGGTCGCCGTTGACATGGCCGCATTGGATGGTGGCAGCCAGCGGCCACTGGCCATGTCCGTCAAGCGAGACGAGACGTAGGCCGCTTGACGGAACTCGTTGACGCCCGAGTTCGCCACTGACCAGGCCACCACCTCCTGCGCCCAGCGTTGGGAAGGGCGCGCGAGCTAGCTGCTCGGGACCCCAGGTGCGGAGGCGTCGCGCGCTGCCGCTGCTCCCGCCACCCGCGTCCACGCGGGCGAAGCAACTGATGGCAGCGACCGTGCCCACTCCGATGGCCTTCCGTCCAGAGTGGAGCCCCCTTCAGGTGTCGAGGTGGCGGGACAGCCCTGGTGCCCGCCAGCGGTCGAATCCGTCGTGGGTATCTGCCCCTGGCGTGCACCTCCTCATTAGCGCATTGGGTCTTCCCTTCTGTCATGCGACTGGCGCGCGGACTGCGCGCGGAGCACCGCGCCACGTAGTGGCGAGAAAACTCGTCGTGCGTCGTATGATCACTGCGCTGCGCCTTGCCACCTGCACGATCACCAATATAGGAAGGAGTGCGCACGGATGTCCAGGTCTGCCAGGGAGCATGGAATGCGTAGCTAACGTTGTGGGTATTGCCCCGGATAAAAACGATAGCGGATATCCCAAAGCTTGTGTAATGGTCCCCTGGGGGATGGCACCACAATTGCCCAGCCCTCCTCTGTATTCCCGCTCTTGCCTGCGCGCGCCTCCCCTGCTTCCGCAGCATAACTGCGGAGAACTCGGGGCGCCTTGCCGACGCCGACAATGCGAGCGTCGGATCAATCGGATGCTTGACATAGCCGGCTACACCAACATGCGGATGCAATGAGGGTGGTTCGTCGTTCCCTCTTTCCTCACAGGTTTGCGCAACGCGGTTGCGAATAGCTCATGGCCCTGTGTCGACACCGTGAGCATGGAAGTCGGATCGCTCCACGGTCTGACGCTGACGGCGGCGCTCACAGGCAAATGTTGTGACGACGAAGGGCACCCGAACATCTCGAGCACAGTTCGAAAATACCCGGGGCGTGGACGAGGATGGCCGATGGCGGGGGGCGCCGTCCGTCTAGTAGATGTAAATGTCCAAAGAGTGTTGTTGGGTACCCCTGGCCGATCCTAGCGGCTGGGTGGACGGGACCCCGCCGACCCCTCGAGGCATGGCGCTTACCGAGACGAGGTGGGCAAGAAGCACCATGGTGAAGCGGAATGTAGAACAGGTGGAAGTTGAAGTCGATGTAGAGCGATCGCCGCCTGCGGGGAGGGCAGCCTCGCGATCCATGGCGGCGAGTGGTCGTGGAGCGGGCTGCTCCGCTACCAGCTAAGATGTAGAGCGATGAACGAATTGGTCTTGAACGGAAGGATGTACAACGGCGTAAGGCAAATATAAAAGGGACATGTACCTTGAGACAGAATTGCAACGATGAGAAAAGCCTGCCCGCACCTACCCTTCACTGATAACCTGCCGTTCGACTAGGAGGAATATGGGGATGAGGATTAGGATGAGGATGATGGTGATGATGATGTTGATGACGATGATGACGGTGATGGCGACGATGATCGTGATTATGATGATTATGATGAGGAGGAGGATGATGCTGGGGAGGAGGAGGAGAAGGAAGAGGAAGGACGTGACGAGGCGGGCGGGAGCGGAAGGAGGAGTATGGGGATGGGGGGGAGGGGAAGGCGGGGAGGAGGAATGGGCGGGGATGATAACGAGATGGAGAGGGCGGGGGATGAGGATGAGAAGGGGGACGGGGAAGGAGCCGAAAGGGGAGAGGGGAGCGCCAAGAAGGTGAGGTGGGAAGAGGGGTGGGGGGCAGCAGGGAAAGAAGGGGGGAGGCGAAACATTACGACATTGAAATTGAGTCGAAAGAGAAGGAGGAGGACAAGGAGGAGGAGGAGGAGGATGAGCAAAAAAAGAAAACAACACTCTGCGAACTCATACGTAATATCCGGCACTGTCAACGCATTCTGGCACGTATGGTTTGCTACAAACTTCCGCAACATGGTCCCCGAACGAAGGCCAATCTTCGGCCCCCCCCCCCCCCCTGAGACCTGGCTTCTTCCTCTCCCTCGCCCATCTCCCTCTCCTGTCCTCCCTCTGGTCTGCCCCTCCCCTGAACGCCGTGCAGACGCTGATGCGACTTGTTCTCCGCATCCGACTCCAACACCCCCCCTATCCCTCCACTTCCTTCCCCTCCCGCTCCATCTCCGCTGCCTGACTATCCCTGACTACCTCCGCTGACTGGCCGTCGGCCGAACCAAATACCTGCGACCGAATGCAAGTGAGCTCGCTCACGGGCCCGAGACAGACTATCTGAAGAGAGAAAGAGTGAGAAAACAGAAAACACAATTGTGCTGGATCGCTGGTGCGGTTAGTGCCCCGAATCCCTGGTCGTTGTAGAAGCGTGCTGCTGGCAAAACACTTGGTGCATCCATGATTGCGTACTCCTACTGACCTGGTGCAGCTTGCAATGACGGTCGAGCGCACGTGTGGCGGATAGGGCGGAAATAGAACATGTTGATCGCTGTGGGTTGCAACATTTTCGCATCGGGCCAAGACTGACTGATCGTGGCCACGACATTGCTTGATTTCCGACTTCGAGACTATACCAGAATCGAACTCCACCTCGCGTTCTTTTCCGCGGGCACCAGCAGGTGGACGGGACCCGCGCCCGCACATCACGTATTATTTTCAGCGTGAAGGCGCTGCGCCAACAACGGTGCATCTCGGGTTCTAGCTCGACGCCGCGTAGGGGCCATGCTGAAGAATGGGCAAGCCATGGCTTGTTTCAGGCTCGCCGTCCTTGATGTTGACGCCCAACGCTGCATTTGAGAGCTCTTCGCATGTTCGATATCTGTTCTGTCACCGGTGTGTTGAACAATGGATTCCACGGGCCAGTCCCGATGCAAGGCCAGATACTTCTTCACCTCAGCGAACCTTGCGGAAAAGAGCAGGCGTTGCATCAACGCTTGGCCACATAAAGATGATCAAGGATGACGCTGGGGCCCGGGAGGTCCCATATCATCCATCAGCCCGGACGCATGCTATTTCAGAATGGTCGCCCCAGTACACCATTATGCATACATCTTTATCCGCTCTTCGAGTAGGCCCACGTATGTCGCGGACGCGTTGACGGGCGACTCCTTTTCCGTACATGCTGTTCGCATGGGTGGCCGTACCGCCTTACTGTTCGAATGGGTGGCCATACCGCCTGATTTGATGTCTCGCGACAATTTTTCGTCGCCCTCCCCCTGTCGCCCACCTCGCCCCTTGTGCACACACGCCCCAGGCGGAAGTAGGAGAAGGAGGAGGCGGGAGGAGGGGGACGAGGGGAATGAGGGATAGGACGAGCCATCTGTGCCCTGCTGCAGCTCATGGTTGCGCATTGCGGGCTCGGGCTGCGCCCTCTTCTGGCTTGCCTCCTGGGGGGCCCCGGGAGGTACTCTACCAGCACAGCTGGGAAGATCTGCGTTGATGGCACCACCCGGGAACGCGTGCCGCCCGGCTCTCAGGCCATCGTGGTCGAAGAAGACGGGGCTGCCGCAGCAGCGCGCATCACAATGAGGGCAACGCGGTAGACATGTGCAGAGCAGGGTCGGGAGAAGGAGGGTGGATGCGGATCAGCAGCAGCAGATACAGCAAACGTGTGTGTGTGTGTGTGTGTGTGTGTGTGTGTGTGTGTGTGTGTGTGTGTGTGTGTGTGTGTGTGTTCGGGAGCGGCCAAGAGGGGGGTGTCCAAGAGGGGGGGTGCAAATCATGACCGGCGGCATGTGCGCGGCCCAGCGGGGGGGCAAGGGACGTAATGAAATAAGAAGAGGTGCCATGAAATCTGAGGAAATGTCATGGCCCCCGCCATGATATCCACCCCCCCCTAGTCATCACCCCCCTCTTTTCCGCCCCCGATGTGTGTGTGTGTGTGTGTGTGTTCCTGCCGTCCGACCGGCACTGGCCTCCTGGACCATCCTGTGCACCACCCGAGCCGTTCCTCTGGTCGCGCCCACGCCTGGCCACGAAAGCCCTCCCCAACCCCCAGCAGCCCGACCAGGAAAGAAGAGGCGAGTGAGGCAGGAGGCAGGAGGAGGCAGGAGGAGGAGGAGGAGGAGGAGGAGGAGGAGGAAATGAGCAGATCCAGGCGAGAAGATGCATGGCCTGTTCCGTGGGGGCCTGCGTGGCCCCCCGGCGCTGTCCGACTTGGACCACATCCAGATTCGCCCCCCCTCGCAAGGGAGACTCGAAGAACGAGGAGGGGGAGGAGGAACAGGAAGGAGGAGGAGGAGGAGGAGGAGGAGGAGGAGGAGGAGGAGGAGGAGGAGGGGCCACATGCCGCCGCCCATGACTGACCGACGATCCACATCTGACACGGCGGAGGACTCCGCTGCCACCCGCGCGCCGAACACCCACCTCCACCAACGAGCGGTGACCGAGGCCGCGGCCCGCTGCCCGCGGCCGCGAGGGGGCGGCACGACCCGCGCCTCGCCGGGCGACGCCTGCTCGCAGAGGCCCGCAGAAGGACGGCCCGCTCTCCGCCACCGCCCCGTCCCACCCAGACGTCCGAGGCTCCGAACAAAAAGGAGCTGCTGGTTTTTTCGGCTGTCTTCGGCCTCGAGGGGCCCTCAGCGGGCCCCCGGGGCCGTCAAAACACTGCTCAGGATGAGAAGGCGGCTCTGGGGGAATGTTCCAGGCATGTGCCAGACCTCCGGGGGTCCACGCATCGTTTGGACCTCCCGATGTCTTGGATCTCGCCTTCAACTCCCCCGCCAGCGTATCTGCCCCCCCCCCCTCTCTCGCCCCCTCCCCTGCTGCCCGCCCCAATTCCCCCCCCCCCCCGCCCTCTCACCTCTCCACCTTTTCTCCGTCTCCCCCCTCCTCCCCACTGGCCTTTTCCACTCTCCCCCCGCATTCATCCTTCCATCTCCTCGCTCCGCCCCCGAACCGCGCGCCCCCTCCTCCACCACGTCCCACTCCCGCCCTCTCACCGCTTCCAATCGTGTCCGTGTGCCCCCCCCCCATCTGTTTGTCTCTACTCTCTTCCCTCCCTCCCCGCCCCCTGTCCCCTCTCTCCGCCCGATCTCCCCTGCACGCTCCTCCCTTCCCCTGGCACGACGTGGACCAATCATGAAACCACCTCCCCCTCCCCGATGGGCTTAGGAGGAGCGTAGGGACGAGGATGAGAAGTAAGAGGGGGAGCGGGGGGTGCAACGGAGGAAGCAGAGAAGATGAATATGAGGGAAGATGATGATGCCATTGTCGGCGGGAGGAGGAGGAGGAGGAGGAGGAGGAGGAGGAGGAGGAGGAGGAGGAGGAGGAGGAGGATAAGGAGGAGGCGGAGGAGGAATAGGTAGAAGAAATATGGCCCTCTCCGCCCAACACCCGGGATGGCTCGTGACAGCCCCACAGGGCCGGTGAAGATGATGAGGTGATTGTGGAAGGTTGCGTATGCCGTCGACGTATATCGAATTGGACATGCGAGTCCCTGGCTTCTCCTCTGTTGCGCCCCCCGGAGTGACAAGGAACGAGGGCGTTGGGGTCGACAACTCCCTCCTCTCTCCTCCCCATCCCCCTCCCTTCCCTACCTGTGTCCAATCCCGTCTATTTCCGCTCCATCCCTCCTCTTGCCATCGCTCGGACGTTCATTCACCGTGCATAATTCGGTGTCGTGCGTGTTAACTTTGCCGCAAGTTTATCCAATCTGCTCCTCGATGGTCCTCGCCGAAAAAAAATGCACACGTCCGAGCGTTGCCAAGTCCTTCTCACCTCACCGCTCCATCCATCTCCCCCCTCCTTCTTCGTCGCCAACCCACCTTGCCTCCCCCTCCGAGGAGAGGCACGACGACGAGGTCCAGGAGATCGACACCAGAGGGAGGTGGGTGGAGGAGGAAGGAGGAGAAGGAGGAGAAGGACGATGAGGAAGAGAAAGATGTAGAGAAGAAGGAGGGGGAGCGGGAGGGTGAGGGGGAGGAGGAGGAGGAGGAGGAGGAGGAGGAGGAGGAGGAGGAGAAGGAGGAGGAGGAGGAGGAGGAGGAGGACGTAGAGAAGGAGGATGGTGAGGAGGAACAGGATGATGAGGAGGCCGCGCAGTAGGAGGACAAGGAGGAGCAAACTGACTGGAGGACAGGTAGGAGCAAACGAGGGAACGAGGGAAGGAGGACAGGGCTGGTCGGGCAGTCCCCGCCCTGGGGCGTCGCCCACAGGGCAGGAAGCGGAGAGCGGGAGGCAGGGAGACGAGGCGTGCACCGGGAGAAACGCGACGGGGAATGCACGGTGGCAGAGTCGCCAAACTGCACCACCCCGCCATGCCAACTGCTCCTCGCTGGGATCGCCACTCCTGCTGCTCATCCCCCTCCTCTCCCCCCCCTTCTCTCTCCCTCTCTTTCTCTCTCTCTCTCTCTCTCTCTCCCCTCGCAAGGGCATACACGGCAGCACGCAGGGCCTCCGTGCCCAGCTGCGCCTGCCCGCCTGCCTCCTCCTCGTCACCGTTCGCGATGGCCAGCCCGTCCTCCGGACGAGGAGGGGGAGAAGGAGAAGGAGGAGGAGAAGGAGGAGGAGGAGGAGGCAAAACATCCAACGTACCTCGAATGCCGCCAGGGAGAAAGAAACGGAGGAAGAGGGCAGGGTGGGGGAGAAGGGGAGGCAGGTAAGGGGGACCATCCGATGTAATTACACGACGAGATGGTGTCTGAGAGCTACGGACCCTCGGCGCCCATGACTTCCAAGGCCGCCGAAATATGGGGCGTGGGCCTATCTGCTTCAGTGGAACGTGCTCCGCCTTCGCGTTGTCGTCCTCCTCCTATTGTCGCTCCCTTTCCTCCGCCTCCAACACGCAAGATCCCTGTCAGACCGCCCATGGAACCTCCAAGAACCCCCAGCACCCCCTGAGACATCCTCCTCCTCCTCCTCCTTCTCCTCCTCGCTTGCTCACTCGCCTAAGCAGACAGGCGAACAGATACGGGAGACATGCAGCAGCGTTCAAGCAGACAGATCCCAAGCCAACGCACAAACCCAAGAGGGGAGACACAGGGGAGGAAGAGAGAAACGGCGGGAGGGCAGGAGGCCGCAAGGGAGGGCGCAAGCCCAAGTGATCTCCTCCGCCTCCTCCTCCTCCTCTTCCTCCTCCTCCTCCTCCTCCTCCTCCTCCTCCTCCTCCTCCTCCTCCTCCTCCCCCTCCGTAGCCATGTTGGCTCAAGGCTCGGATCGCCGGCGTCCTCCGTCTCTTTCTCCTCGTTCGCCTTTCCCCTTCTTCGCCCTGCGGCCGCGCGATGACCGCTCCGCGCTGAAGCGGGCGACGCAGGCGCGCCCGCGTCCAAGAGCATGCAATACAACGATTTCAAATGTTCTCAGGGTTACCGTCCCAGAAATAATGTTTTGGCACGGTGTCGGAATGCCGGGGCGCCATCTGGGATCGCCAAGACGCAAGACTACGGGTGATTCGCGGCGTGGCAGTTCCATGAGTGGTGTTCTGGCACAGTCCAGTATTGACAAACGGTTGTTTCCCAGCGAGGCACCTCCTCAAGTGAAGATGAATCCTTGTAGGGACCTGTGAAGGGGGAACTGGGAGGGTTTCTTGCAACATCGTTGATGGGTCTTGGGTTTACACTGGTCCTCCTCCTCCTCCTCCTCCTCCTCCTCCTCCTCTCTCTCCTCCTCTCTCTCCTCCTCTCTCTCCTCCTCCTCCTCCTCCTCCTCCTCCTCCTCCTCCTCCTCCTCCTCCTCCTCCTCCTCCTCCTCCTCCTCCTCTCTCTCTCTCTCTCTCTCCTCCCCCCACTCCTTTCTGCACCTCCCCTTTTTGAACGGATCTGCCATGCTCTTCACGCGAGCGACGCGTCCACGCCCGCACTGGAGCCGTCGTTCGGCCGAGGCGACCGCCGCCGCTGTCCGTCCTCGTTGTGCTCCTCCTGCTGCTGCGCACCCTCCCCCTCCACCTCCTTCTCCTCCTCCCCCTGCCCCACCACTCTTTGCCCCCCTCATCAGCAGTATCCTGCTCCTGACTGCATCTTTCCTCCCTTCCTCCTTCTCCTCCACCCCTCCTCCTCCTCCTCCTCCTCCTCCTCCTCCTCCTCGTCTTTCTCCTCCTCCTCCTCCTCCTCCTCCTCCTCCTCCTCATATTACACCCTTTCCTCGTCTATTCCTTCTTTACTTCCCCCTCCTACTCCCCTCCCGTCCTCCCCCTCTACCTTCTCCTCCTCCTCCTCCCTCTGGTCCCATCTCCTTCCTCCTCCCCCCCTCTCTCTCCTAACGCTCCTTGTCCTCCTCGCCCTCCCGCACCTGCCCCCGTCCTTCCTTCCTCCATTTTCCCTCGCCTCCCTCCCCCCTTCACCCTTCCTCGGTGGAGGGGGGGGAGGAGGGGAGGGGGAGACAGGGGGGGGAGAGACGCGGGCATCCTGGTGCGGCAGAGAGCGCAGCGTGCAGCACAGACTGGCCCGGGCGGTAGCCCGACCGAGGCAGAGAAGGCCCGAGATCCCCCCGAACAATGGAGGAAACGTCAGCGCAAGCTGCAGAAGGAGAGGAAGGGAGGCATGGAGGAGGGGTCCTCCCCCTCTTCCTCCCCCTCCTCCCGCCGGGAGGGACAAGGTGAAGTGCGGCGGTGGCGGAGGGGGGAGCGGGGCAGACGCGCGCGGGAGGGCGGGGACCCACTACCCCGCTGCCCCCGGCGCGCGCGCGCCCCCCAGATTCCTCTCCATGCTGCTGCTCACCGCTCCCCCTCTCCCCCGATGGCTGCCTCTGCCCGCGCCTCCGTGTGCGCGGCCTCCTCCCTGCTGCTCCTCCGCTGCTCTCGCCTCCCTCCACTGTCCTCGGCTGCTGCTGCTGCTGCTGCTGCTGCTGCTGCCGCTCCCCCCCCCCACCCCCTGCCTCGCCTCGGCCGCCTCGGCCGCCTCGCCCTCCGCGGGGGCCTCGGCGCGCAGCTCCGCGCCGCCGGCGGGCGCCGAGGGAGCAATGCTCTCCCGGCCGCTCGGCGGCGGCCTCATCCGCTTCGGCGGCGGGCCGCCGCCGGGCGGCCGCGGGCGCGCCGCCTGCGCGGTGGACCCGGGGGCGGCGGGGCGGCGGATCGGGCAGGGCTCGGGCCCCGGAGCGGGGACGGTGCCCACGGCAGGGCGAGCGCGAGGAGAGGACCGGACGACGGCACGGCAAGATGAACGAACAACTGCGATGACAAAAAAGATCACCGACACGGGAAGAAACCGAGGAGGAGGAGGAAGAGGAAGTGCAAGAGAAAGACGGGGGTACCGATACATGAGGACGGAGGCGCCTGTCATCTCCATACACCTTCTACTTCCTTCTCCGGCATCCCGCTACCAATCCCTGTCCTTTGACTCATCCCCCTTCCCGTCCTTCTCCGATTCCTGCCCCTCCTCCTGCGTCTCCTCTGTTCTACTCCCGCCTTTGCTGCGACTTCTTATCTTTCTCCTCCTGCTTCGCTCCTTCCTCCTCCTCCTCCTCCTGCTGCTGCTGCTGCTGTTCCTCCTCGGAGAGGGAGGAGGAGAAGGCCAAAGAAAGAGAGAGAGAGAGAGAGGGAGTGGACGAGGAGGAGGAGGAGAAGGAGGAGGAGGAAGAGTATAAGGGAGAACACACCGGGGAAGGGAGGAGAGGCTGCAGGAGGAATCCCTTCCCGAGCCATTCGCTCCCTGCAAAGCTGGACTCGCAGAGCTATCGCCATTAACACGCTTAGAGTGAAGAGCCTTAGAGCTGCTCTTCTCGCGTGTCCTCTTCCTCCTCCTTGGCCTCGTCATCCGACTTACCCTGTTTCCCGTCCTCGGCCTCGTCATCCTTCCTCAATCGCCTCCCTAGTCAAGCCTTCCTGACCCTTTCCTGCTCCTCCGCCCCTAAACCGTACAATTTCCCCTTCGGCATCTTTGTCGAGATCGGAGGGGTGCGCAGCTACGTTCTACTCTGCGCACGTGAACGTGACGATCCTCCGCGTCCCCTTCCTCCTTCGCTTGCTCCACTTCCTCCTCGTCCTCCTCCACCTTCCTTCTCCTCATCTCATCATCAGCACCATCATCACCATCCGCGTCACCACCAACATCACCATCACCATCTTCACCATCATCTTTGTCACCATCATCCGCATCGTCATCAACACCAGCATCAACATCATCACGACCATCATCAAAAACATCGTTATCAGCGTCAATACCATGCTTACCATGACGACTATCACATTTGTACGCATCGTCTGCCCTGCCATTCCCTCCTGGTTGCATCCTGCTCGCCTTCATCCACGGCTACTTCAATGGAGTGTTGAATCGATCCGTACTCTCGTGCCCCTGGATGAGGTGGACGACACTGTACGTGGAAATAGTAAGGAGAGAGATGGGAGGACGGATGAGGGGGGACAAGAAGGAGGAGGAGGAGATCCAGGTGGTGACAGCGGTGATGGAGGAGAAAGATGAAACAAGCGAGAGGAGGCGTTGGAGAATGGGGAGACGGCGGAGACTGGAAGAGGGATGATGCTCTATGGGAAAGGGCGGAGAGAGGAGGGAAAGAGAAAGGCAAGGGCAGGATGAGCATGCCAATGACCGTTTCCTTCGAAACCTCACCAACCCAGAACATTTTGGAATTATTGGCCAAGCGTGCCAATTCTGGACTCGCGTCTGTAGTCCTTGGCGAACCACCATGCGAGATCTGGAATGGCATTCGCCAGTACCAGCGAATGGAAACATCGCGCAATGGGAAGGGATGGGAGGGAAATATAGGATATCATATGTGCTGCGAGCAACCTAGCTTCCCCCCCTCTCGCGTCTTTCCTCTCTCCACCCTCCCCTCTCCCGTGTCTTCAATCTCCTTTTCCTCGCCACTAAGTCTCTTCCTCATCATACTTACCTGCTCCCTGCTCCCTCATCGCTGCTCTCTCCTGCCTCCTGCCTCCTGCTTCAACTGCCTCCTCCCGTTCCTACTGCTGCTGCTGCTCTCCTTCTTCGTCGTCGTCATCGTCGTCGTCGTTGTTGTCCTCGTCCTTCTTCTCCCCCTTCCTGTGCTACTCCCCACCTCTCCTCCCCTATTCATCCTCCCTCCCACCGCTCCCCTCCTAGTATCCCCTGCCTCCTGCCCCTGCTCCTGCTGCTCCTCCCCCCCTCTGGAGCGAGCAGGAAGGTCCTCGCTGCGAGTGGTCGCAAGACCCCTCGAACGCTTCGCCGGCGGCGGCCCGTCGGGCGGGCAAGGGCGCTGCTGCTCCTTTGGGCGAGACCGCGGGCGGGGGGGGGAGGGGGGCCGAAGGAGCGGACAGGGAGCGGCAGCGAGGGAGGGGAGCGGATGATGATGGGGAGCGGCTGGGCAAGCGGAGCGGAGCACGCGGGAAAGGGGATGGCCGGATTGGGGAGAGGCAGAGGGGGAGGGGGGGGAGAAACGTATAGGTCGAGAGGCAGGAGTGACGAGGTGGCCGCCCTGCGTGCTTGCCCCCCCCCCCCCCAATTACACCCCTTCTGCCCGCCCGCCCGGCAAGCCGCACGCCCCGGCGAGAGGTCGCTCCTGCGCGCCGCCGGTGCCAACAGACCCTCCGACCTCGCCCCGGGGGCGTCGTCCCGGAACAGATGTCTCGTCACGGTCGCTTCGGCAACCCCCGTGGCGCGAGAACAGCTCGCACCCCAGGCACTGAGCTCGCCCCGCCCTTCCCCCGAAACAGCGGCCCTCGCGACGCCTGGAAGCCCCCAGCCCTCCGATGTCTTGCCTCTCCGCAAACAGCCTGCGTGTAAGGGTTCCGGATTCGTGCTTGTTCTTGTCTTTTTCTTCCAAGAGGCTAAGGCGTGCGCTGCCTGATCCAGAGCGAGGGGGGGTGACGTTGCTTCCCGTAGTCTCCTCCGCACGTGCGTGCTCTCGTTTTCCCATGCTGCGGATCGCCCTGCGGAGTCCCACACGGGCATGGGCGGAGGCCGCGCCTGCGCCCGGGCACCTGCCCGAGCCGATGCAGGCACCGATGGCCCCCCTAAGCCCAGACCCCTCCCGTGCCTACTGAATTCGACAAGTCAGAGGCTTCACCACCAAGAAATGCAATTTACAGGGCGGTGGGTGGGGAGAAAACTTGGGTGACCGAGAGCACGGAGGTGCGACCGAAGGCGGAACTCGAGACCAAAATGGCCATGGGCACGCGAGCGCCATGTGACTCCGTGCGTCCGCTCCGCTCCTGCACCCCTCCACATGTGCGTGCTCTCGTTTTCCCATGCTGCGGATCGCCATGCGGCCTCCCGCACTGGCATGGGCGGAGGCCGTGCCTGCGCCCGGGCACCTGCCCGAGCCGATGCAGGCACCGATGGCCCCCTTATGCCGGAGCACCCTGCTCCGCGCAAGCGGAAGCATTACGTGCTAAAGCTGCCTTCGCCGCCACTCTATCCCCAGGCAGGCATTTCTCGCTCAAGAGCTTGTACGGCCTCTCGGCGGTCTCGAGCCTAACGTGGTCAGCGATGCCGAAAGCCCACCTGCAGGAAGTTCGCCACCCCCTGGGCGCGATACGTGTGGATCCCTCCCGGACCCGGTGGACGACGCCGGTCTCGGGGTTCTCCACGAACTCGGGACCGTCGACACAGAGGCGCCTAACCCCCCCCCCAGCCCCGCCGCGAAGGCTTCGCGCAGGGAGAGGACGGAGGCCTCGAGAGAGGAGACTTTGGTGACGAGTTGCTGGCATAGGCTGTCTGCTGTGTCGCGACGAGCCTCGCGAGCCGGACGCGCTCTCCCTGCCGGCGCGGCGGTGCGCGCCCGCTTGTCGGGCCCCTATTCGTCCTCCCGCTCCAGCCGCACGCGCCGGCGGACCTCGTCGAGTGGCAGGCCCGCCGAAGCCCGCGCAGCCCAACTGCCCGAGACAGCGAGCGGTGCCTCCCGGGCGTAGCGCAGGACCGCATCCGAGTCCCCCAACGCCCCAAGAGCTGGATCGCCCAGACGTCGAACCTGCCATCGCGAGCCCGTGCGCCCCGGCGACGCGGAGCGAGTGGCCGGTCCAGCGAACCTCGCCAGCGGGCCCGTGCGTCTCCAACCCCAGCAGACGAGCCGCGTGCTGAATGGTTGCAGCGACGGCCTGCTTCGCGCATGCCTGTCCGCTCTCGTCTGGGAACAGCGGGAGATCGAGGTCCGGCCACCCGCCCGCGAAGCGCTCTGGGAACGCGCTCTTAAGCCAGCGGGCTTGCGAGGCCACCGCGCGCGCAAGGCAAATGGCGGCCAAACGCCCTCCCCCGCAGCAGCACCAGTGAGTGCGCATGGCGCCGAGGGCCAAAGGGTCGGCCTTCGACGCAGGGAGGTTCCAGGCGACCTGCAGCGAACTCCCGGTGCCCGACGGCGTGACCAGCGCCGCGCGCGTCGTGGACAGCTCGACCTCCCTGAGAAGCCACCACATGCCCGCGATGATGAGGAGGTGCGGGTTTGCTGGGCCTCCTGGCACCCATGGCTCGCGCCCGCGTGGGAGGCGGTGCAATTCCTCTCATGGGAGGGCGGGCGCCTGCGCAGCTGGCCCCTGGCCCCGCTCGCAGGACATGAGGGCGTCTTTAACTGCGCGCCGAATGCCAGAATCGGCCAGATGCCCCCTTCTCTCTGATTCCACTACGGCTGCTGAAAGGTAAAGCCGTGCCGAGCGGTACCTGCCTGCCTTGAGGCTCGCTCCTAAGGCGGCCACCTTTGAGATACTCAGCGGGAACATCTCCGAATATTTCCTCATGGTCGTCGCGTGCACCGACTTGGCGAAACTCGACAAGGCACGCAGGCGCGCCCGTCCCTCCAGCAAGCCGGAATCGACCCGCGGGAGTATCGGTGTCTGCTGGGCGCGTCGTGGCGCAGATATGGCAATGCCCTGCGGGGCGCCCTGGCCGCCGGCAGCCGCCGACGCCGACTGGGCCGAGGTCTCAACGTCGCCTGACCTGGGGCCTTCAGCATTGCCCCAGACCCCGAATGCGCCCGGCCCGAGGCGCAGGCGGACAGCAAGGGAGGTCGCCCCCTGCTTCCCGAAGCCCCGCGAGGCGCGGCCACCCTTGGCGCGGGGCGCGCCCTTTCCCTCGCCCCCAGGCCTGCGGGCGAGGAAGCGCGGAGGGGAGATCCCCTCCGATCGCGCCCCCGGCTCGGGCCCCCATGGGAGCGGCCGCCAACAATGCCCCGCGATCCCGTCGAGAACGGGCGGCGGCGAGCGGAGCCAAGTCAAAGCGTGGCCGACGGATGCGCGTCATGGGAGAGCCCGCGCTCCGCCGCGCCTGGACGGCCGGAAATTCGAGCCGGCAGACACCGTATGATAATGACAAGGCGCGCCGATCTCCCCCTATGGCTTTGAGCCGGGGAGGCGCGTGAACGCGGAACTGGGCCAGCCAAGTCGTGGAGCTGGCAGCTGGCGAGAGGCGCCGACGCCCCCCGATGGCCAGGCAGGCCTGGGACGCGCCTGGCGAGATACGCCGATGCCCCCTCGGGGCTGGTCGAGCGCATCCCCTCATCCGAGTTACCCGGTGGGGGGGGGGCAGGGAAGAGGAGGCAACTTGAAAAGGCTCTACTGTCCTCCGGCGTCATATTTCCGACTGCGCGCATGCACCCGCTTCCAATCCAGAATTGTCCACTCGTTGTAGGCCCGCAGAGGCCTAGGCACTCAGACAACACTTCGTTCTGGTAGGGATCAGCACTCGCCGGAGTGCTGCCCCGACCAAAATTGCCGGGCAAAGGGCCTGGGCCCAGAGCTCAAAGATCAATCGCACCCCAAGACGCAACGAACATGTCACGAATTTCGTGGCGGCTATGGCTAACATACTTTTGCTCGGCGCAACGTCCAAACTCACCCCTCGGTTTATAAGTCGCTGCGCTCGTCAGCCCCGCGGCGCCCTCGAGCTCGGCGCCGGACTGGGAAACCGGCGCCACGCGCGCGAGCTCGTTCAAAGACAAGTTGTCGGGGGTGGATCCCCCAACCAGGCCTGCCAGATCAAATCGAGCTCGGGCGCGCGAGCGGCCGGCGTATCTCGCAACGCCGGTGGAAAAGGGGCTGGGGGCGGGGGCGTCCGCTAGCTCGTTGGCCTCTGACGGTAGATGCGAGACCGTGTGCGTCCACCGGAAGGTAGCCTTCCTCCGCGAAAGCTCCCTGGTCACGGCATTCAGGTCTCGACGTCCTCGGTGATAGACTGCGCCCGCGAGCGCCGAGAGATTGCCCCCCTTGACGGCGAGGACCTGCCCGACTGCGAACGGCGTGCCCCGCGCCAACAGGGTGGCCAGCAGGGCGACGTACTCCCACAAGGTCTGCCACTTGGAATTGCAGATCTCGGCGCTGAACCGCTGGAGGAGCTTGTCCGGCCACGTGAACGCGAGGCGTTCGCGCGGGGCGCCCTTCTTGAAGAAGATGGCGCCCCCCCCCCCCGCGGGGAAGCATCGTATTCCACGTGGGCCGGCGCGGCCGGGGGGCGGCGCAGGTCCGGCCGGTGGTGCACCTCGCGGGCGAGGGGGAGAACGGCGCCTCTGATGAGCGCCCGCGCCCACGCCGCGGCAGCAGTGAATCGGCGAATCGCGACGCGCCCTGGCGGCGCCTCTGGCCGCGCCGACGCCGCTGCCTGCTCGGCAGCCATCAAGGCCGCCCAGAATGATGCTGCGAAGGGGCATGCCTCTGGCACGACCTGTGCAATGCGCGACACCTTGCCCGCGGCCGCGCGCGCCGCGCTGCGGGGGGCCGTGCCGGACCCCCCGCAGAACGCATCCATGATGTCGGCCGTCGCCTTCAAAAACTCCGGCGGCAGGGTCATGTAGGCTACGGCGGCGCGCAACTCGAAATCGATGCCGATCCAGACATGGGCGCCCAAGGTGAAAGTTCCTCTCCTCCATGCCAGCCCCAGGCCGAGGGCGAGCCACCACCCGAGGATCAAGTTGCAGCGAATGCCCTCGTCGGAGCCCACGAGGGTGATCGCTGAGTCGTCGACGTAGAGCTGCAGCCGGCCCTAGGAAGCCGACGCTATGGCCCGAGCGGAACGGGCCAGGAATGACCCGACCCGTGCACCAGGGGGTTGGCCTTCCTCCCGGAGCCCAGGACTCGCCAAACGATGGCGCGGCCGTGTCCTGCCATGGGGGGCTCCTCGAGGATCGCGACGTTGAGACGCCTTTCGTCCTCGTGCAACGGGATGCTCATGAAGACGTCGAGGAAGTCGAGCACGAGGGCGCCGACCCGATGAACCCGAGCGGGCGCCCCTACGTTCTGCCCTAGCGAGGCGAGGTCGACCGCGTGATCGACCCCCCTCGGTAGCACGACGCGCTCGCGCGTCGTGGACGCCCGCTTCACCCCGTTGGCCTCGAGGTCCTGTATGACCCTGTTCTTGAATGTCCCGTCCCGCTTCTGGCGCCGGACGTTGCCGAGCGGCGCGGGGAAGACGCGCCCGAACTTGGCCCGGGCTGCCGCCGCCGTGTCGTAGGTCTCACAGTAGCCCGACTTAAGGTAGCCGCGAATCAGGTCCAAGGGCGGCGCCTCCGCCCCCCCGTGCTTGTCGCCGAAAGACGGGTGGTTGGCCGAGAACGCGTAGTCACCAATGCCCAGGGCGCCGGGCTCCAAGGTGCTGCTGGAATCGGCCAGCGGGAACAGTCCGCCTGGCACCGCTGCGCGGGATATGCCCATGGGGGCGCCCTCTTCCAGCCACCTCCCGACCGCCCGATCGGGCCCCTCGGCGAGCGATATGACTTGCTGCGCCAAGCGGAACCGCAAGTTCGAGGCTGGATGGTGGCGGAGCTCGCCGCCGGGCTCGACTGCGAGCGCGCGGGCCACCTTCGCCCGCAGCGTTGCCGCGGCTGCTTTGAGACGGCGGCGGGCGCGCGGGTCTCCCCGCAGCAGCCGGCGAGCCCAGGCAGACTGGCGCCCTAGGGCCTCGACCTGGCCCATGACACTTTGGAGCGCAGGCCCCGAGGCGACCGCCGCGGCCGCGTTCCTCAAGCCGGCCCTGCGCGCAGCGTCTTCCTGACGCCGCTGTTCCCGCGCGTCCAAAGTGTCCGCGTTGCGAGAGGCGTGGCCGCGCGCCGGCGCCAGGCCCCCGAACTCGGACAACGCCTCGAAGTGGGGCTCCTCCCAAGGGTCCGGCGCGAGGCCCCCCTCGGGCGGGCCCCCTCGATGGCTGCCACCGCTCCACTTGCCGCCTGCGTGGGAGCGGGGTGGCGCGGAGCTGTGGCAGAAGCGGCAGCTCGCCGCCGCTGCGTCTCCGCCAGCGAGGTCCCGGGCCGCCGGAGCTTGCCCAGAACGTCCTGCAAGCTCTGGCGCTGTCGACTCAGCCGTGCCCGGCGCGAGCCGGGCGTCTCGCCTGGGGCGGTCTCGGGCGCCTCCTGCGCGAGCGCTGGCACTGCCGCGGCTGCCGCGGCCGCGGATGCCGGGAGAGCCCGCGAGCTGGGCGTCGCGCCCTCGGCGGCCCCCGATGCCTCCCGCGCCGCCCTGGCGACCTTCAGAGGCGGGGCCGCGCCCTCCCCGCCGGCGCGGTGCGCCAGAGGGCCTCGCTGGGCAGCTCGCCCACGCCCGGGCGGCGGCGGCACCCAGCCGCGCGGCTTGGCCGAGCGCTCCAGGTCGATGGCCCGATGCGAGCCCAAGCACCACTCGCATCAGTGGGCGCGGCCCTGGGGGCAGCGACCGTCCGTGCAGCCTTTCTCCGAGCGGTTCCAGCTGAAGCAGGGCTGGGGGCCGTCGGCGGCGCGGACGTAGCGCCCGTACTTGCGACGCTCGATCCCAGCCAGGCCCCTCTTCTTCTTGTCGTCCTTGCCGCCTTTCCTCGGGCTGGCGGCCGCCGCCGGAGCTGTCGGCGGCGGCGGGCCGCCGCCGCCGCCGCCTCCACCGCAGCCGCCGCCGCCGCCGCCCGCCTGCAACGCCGGCGGCGCGGCGCCCCGGCGGGAGGCGAGGAGGCGCAGTTGGCGCGGGGGCTATTCTCTGATTTAGCCGAATCCCTGATGGCGGATTCCCAAGGCCGGTCCTTGTCGAAAGAGCCCGCGTAGCACCCGCTGGCGACGCGGACCTCTGTCTGGCGTCGGATGCGCCCCCAGCGCTCCGCTCGCATCACGTCGTCGGCCTGCGAGATGATGCCCCATCTGCTCGGGGAAGGCGGAGTGGAGCAGGCGGATGCCCTCCTCGTGCTCGTCCAACGGCCCCGGCAGAGAGGCCTTCAGCGAGAGCATCGCCGTCCTGAAGACCCGCCAGCACGTGTCGAAAGAGGAAGGCCCCCGGAGCTGCCGAGTGACCAGCTCCCCATCCGACGAACACCTGGGCGGTGAAGCTTAGCAGCCGCTGTTGACGCCGGCCGAATGGCCCCCGCACGGCCATGTCAACGTATGGGGCCATGTCTTCTGCGAGCTTGGCGGCCAGCGCCGAGAGCTGGTCCCCCGCCCCGTCTTCGTGCTCGCGGGCCCCCCCGCCGTGAGCCCTCTCGAAGTCGGCCCACAACGCCGCGATGCGCGGCGTCGGAAGGAGCTCGACGTCTCCGTCATCCGCCTGGTCGATGAGGGCGGCCAGCTTGCGCTTCCGTGCCGCCAGCACGGGAGGCGGCGCCTTGGCCGTAGGCCGCGTCGGCGCTTGCGCTGGGCAGCCCGGCGTGCCGAAGTCAGGCGAGGGCGCGCCGCCGATCTCTGCGATCATCTGGGGGAAGCGCCGCAGCTTGGACTTCTGGAGCGCCTGCAGGGTCAACCACTGTCTCGTCCAAGGCAGTGGGCAGCTCCAGGATGGAAGTCGACAGCAGATCGTCGATCGTGAAATTGCTGAGCGTGCCCCCGAGCTGATCCACGTACGCTCCGAGCAGGATCGTGTCGAAGCCGACCGTCTCCGCGATCGAGGATACCAATAGGGGCGAGGCGTCAGCTGCGCGCGCTCTGAGGGCGCGCCTTCGGTCGCAGCGCCGTCCAGGCCTCCCCCCAGCGCCGTGGCCGCCGCAGCCGCGGGTTCGCTGCCGAACCAGCTCATCGCCCCAGATGCTGCGGTGGTTCCTTAGTAGGATGAGAAAACTTGGGTGGCCGAGAGCACGGAGGTGCGCTCGAAGGCGGAACTCGAGACCAAAATGGCCATGGGCACGCGAACGCCATGTGACTCCGTGCATCCGCTCCGCTCCTGCACCCCTCGTTAATTACCTCCTGTGGCCTCCCGTGGCCTTTTGTTGCCTACCGTTGCCTCCCGTGGCCTCATGTTGCCTCCCATGGCGTCCTGGAGCGATCCCTGTCCATGCCCATGCCTAAACGACCACCCTTCGGGTGATAACGAAGTTTTTGGGGGGGCAACTGGTGGCAACTGCGGCGATTGTGATGATGACGATGCGGGTGGTGCGCTCACGAGTCGGCGACGATGCGTGATGACGAGGCTGGTGAGACCACTGGGACACAGTGGGCCAGCATCGGGACACCATCGGGACATCATCAGAACACCATCGGACGGAGCACCCCAAGACACTGCTGAGGCAAGCAACTGGCACCATCGCCAGCCACTATCTCTCAACCAATCTCACGATCCATGGGTCTGACGATCCACCGCGCAATCGATCCTACTGTCTGCGTGGTGAATTCACTATCGATCTTAGTATCGAGCACGGACACCATGAGACATATATCAATCGACCTCACTGTCGCCCTATCCATCGATCAATTCCACGATCGATTTATAGGCACGGGAGAAGGCGAGAGATTACAGAGCAACATACGAGGCCACACAGCACCAAGAGACACCACGGGATACCACATCAAACCACGATCGATTCCAGGTCGATCTGCATCTATCAAGCGACCTCGCTATCGATCGACCTCACCGTCGATCTCACTTTCGATCTCACTTTCAATCGATCTCACTCAATCGATCTCACAATCGATCTCACTACCGGCCTCCACGGGCCACCGCGGGACACCGCGCCACACGACACCGCGGGAAACCGCGGGACAACACGGCGGCTCACCTGCGGGACACCCTCGGGCCACCGCCAGCCAATCGGGGGGAGCAGAGACATTGACACGGTTTCGCCCTAGCCAGGGCGGGATCACTCCTCTCGCCCGCCCACGCAGCTGCGCCTCGCCCGCACTCGCGACACGAAGCCGACACCGATTTCCCAGCTGGGGGCTCTCCGTTTCACTGCGATCTCACCCCCCGACCTCCGATCAGCACCCAGATGCTATATCCCCCTCCTTACCTACCCCCCTATCACTGGATCCCTGTCCCCGTCCCAATCCGATCCAAATCCCTGCCCCTTTACTCCCTGTCCCGCATCCCTGGGCACCGTCACTGCCCCTGCCCCTCTCTATAGCTCTGTCCCGATCCCCCCAGCCTGGCCCCCCGTCGTGGACCCCCGTCGTGACACCTCATCGTGGCTCCGACCGCAACCTCGCCGTCGCTCGGACGTCCAGTCCCTGTCTTTTTGTCGGTCTCGTGCGTGGCTTTCTCGCCAAACGATCAAGGATGCTCCTCGGTGGGGCCCTCGCCGAAGGAAAAATGCACACGTCCGAGCGATGCCAAGCAACTGTGCAGAGCTGCCTGGGGCCTTCTGCCGCGGGGGCGCCATGCCGAAGGCGGGGCACCCGGAACCCCTCGGCATGCCGCGGGCCCCGAGGGCAGGCAGCGGGCCTCTATAAGGGCCTCCACGGGCCCGCCCTCGGGCCCCCTCGGCGCCCCGGCGAGACACCGACGCCCGGAACTGGCTCACCGCTCTCGGGCCCGGGGCCCTGCACGCCCAGATGGTCTGGTACCGGAAATTTTCGGTAGCGATTTCGACGCACCCCGAATTTCGGTAGCGACCGGATCTTCGTTTGAGGGCGTTGAAATAGCGGATTTCGGAACGTTCTGATACCGGTATTGGGCGCTGCATTACGGTATTTCGGTAGCGACCGATCTCTGCGGAGCGCTACCGGAAATTTTCGGTAGCGGACCATCAGGGCAGGGACCGTCCGAAGGCTGCCCGTGATGCAGAACTGGCCATGGGGAAGCCCCAGGGTCTGGGGGACCAGCCTCCTTCATACGGCGACGTCCCGGCATCCTCCCGAAGACCGTCGCTGCACTTCAGAACGTTCTTGCCGGTGGGCCCCGGGAACCGAAAACGGCAGGCGCCAGAAACGACGCGAGCCACCCTTGGCGAGGGGGGCTGTGGGGGAGAGGAGAAGGCTTCTTAGAAGCACCCCTGCTTCTTAGAAGGCGGGGCCAGTACATCTACAGGCAAGGCCCGCGCCTTCTGAGAAGCAGGGGTGCTTCTATAAGGGGAACGAAACATGTCATAAACATATAAACTCGGAGGTCCGCGCGGATTTCTCGAATCCGCGCAGGGCCCCCCTGGCGGCGCCTCCGGCGCCGCCCCTGGCGCGCTCCGCACGCCAGGGCAGGGGGGTCCCGCGCGGATCCGAGAAATCCGCGCGGTCCTCCGAGTTTTTGTGTTTATGCCATTTTTCGTTCTCCTATTCGAAGAAGCCCTTCCCCCTCCCCCTACCCCCCCTCTGCGCGTGGCTGACCCCCGCCTGGACTCGTCCAGGCGTTGGAGGTCCGAGGTCGGGGGCCGCTGCTGCTGCTCCTTGGCCCCCCGGGCGGGGAGGCGGGAGCGGCCTGAGGCGCGGGGTGCTCCACCTCCCGCAGGGGCCCGAGCCACGCGGGGCCTTCGCCAGGGGCGCCGCCGAGCCGCACGGTCTCCGTCTCTCCTGCTGCGCGGAGAGGGGGTGGGGGGGAGCTGGGGAGAAGGAGGAGGAGGAGAAGGAGGAGGAGGAGGAGGAGGAGGAGGAGGAGGAGGAGAAGGAGGAGGGGGAGGAGGAAGAGGAGGAGGAGGAGGAGGAGGAGGAGGAGGAGAAGGAGGAGGAGGAGGAGGAGGAAAGGAAGAGGAGGGGGAGGGGGAGGAGGAGGAGGAGGAGGAGGAGGAGGAGGAGGAGGAGGAGGAGGAGGAGAAGGAGGAGGAGGAGGGGAGGAGGAGGAGGAGAGGAGGAGGAGGAGGAGGAGGAGGAGGAGGAGGAGGAGGAGGGGGAAGAGGGGGGGGAGGGGGGGAGGGGGAGGGGGAGGAGGAGAATGAGCAGGAGGACGAGGAGGAGGAGGAGGAGGAGGAAGAGGAGGGAGGAAACGGGAGAGCGGGGGGAAGGCAAGCTAGGTGTGCGCTCGGACCACGTCTGACATCTCACCACTCCCACCCATCCCTTCTCATGCTGACTCTCTCTCTGTCCGCGGACGCGTGTCACGACGGACCTCAATGTCAACAGTCATCCCCATCGTTTAAGCGCAATCGGATTTATCTGTGTAAGCGAATCGGCCACGCATCCACATGTTGCGGCGTTGGCCCCGTAGCTCGTGCGCGTGCCGTTCGCATCACGAGCCATATGCAAACATGGCGCGAAGCAGAGGCAACTATGCCAATGCTGATGTATGAAAGCGTTGTGTGCACATCCCCCTCATGCTTCGACCGACCATTCATACAACCTGGCAACGAACAACAGCACGCAAAAAATCACGGCACAATTCATGACAACTGGTATACGCAATCGGAGATGGGGAGCTGCCTACATTGGAGGAGAAGGAGGAGGAGTAGGAGTAGGAGAAGGAGGAGGAGGAGGAACAGGAACAGGAACAGGATGAAGAAGGAGGAGGAGGAGGAGGAGGAGGAGGAGAACGAGGACGAACAGCAGCAGCAGACGCTAGAGCAGGTAGAAGGACTGGGATAATCAGAAGGACAAGGGGAAAGCGGAAGATGGAAAGGCGGACGGCGACACCGATGAGGCAAGACTCTGATGTAGAAAAGAAAGGCCCGCGCTGGGGCGAGGGTGCCATTCTGAACGACACGAGGGTAGCAACGCGCCGATTCTGAACTGAGGCTCCCGCTGCAGCTGCAGCATGTTTTGAAATGACCGAACACGGCCAGAGTGTAAACAAAACACCTAGAAAACCCATGTGTGAAAAAACCCTGTGCAAAAAAACTGTACGCGGAGAGGGGCAGGCTTCTCCCGCGCCCTCTTCGGGTGAGAGGAGGAAGAGTAGCACTCATATTGAATAGCTGCCGAGGGAAAGGATCGGGGACTGGCGGGGGGGCAACGGGGGGGAGCGCAGCAAGGACGGAGAGAGATGTCAAAAGCAATTCCAGGATGCAACAGCGGCGGAGCTGTAACACACCTTCCTCCTCCTCCTCCTCCTCCTCCTCCTCCTCCTCCTCCTGCCTCCCTCTCCTCCTCCTCTCCTCCTCCTCCTCCTCCTTTTCCTCCTCCTCCTCCTCCTCCTCCCTCCTCTCCTCCTCCTCCTCCCTCTCCCCTATCCTCCTGCTCCTCCTCCTCCTCCTCCTCCTGCCTCCCTCTCCTCCGCGTACTCCTTTTCTTCCCCCCCCCCTCCTCCTCCTCCTGCCTCCTTCCTCCCCCTCCTTGTCCATCCCGCCCGCGTCTCCGAATCAAAAGCCCACGCAGGCGCTCCACGTCACTGCCCCCCCCCGTCTGCATGGAGGGACGAGAGCTCCACGGGCCTGCCGTCCCAGCGAGCGGAGCCCCGTTGGGAAGGCGAACCACTCCCGGTTCGCCGCCAGGGTAGAAAAGGCCATGAGTCAGGAGCATGGAGGAGAGGGAAAGGAGGAGGAGGAGGAGGAGGAGGAGGAGGAGGAGGAGGAGGAGGAGGAGGAGGAAAAGGAGGAGGAAGAGGAGGGGAGGAGGGGGAGGAGGAGGGGGAGGAGGGGAGGACGAGGAGGAGGAGGAGGAGGAGGAGGAGGAGGGGGGAGGAGGAGGGGAGGAGGAGGAGGAGGAGGAGGAGGAGGAGGAGGAGGAGGAGGAGGAGGAGGAGGAGGAAAAGGAGGAAACTGACAAACAAACAGACCGACAGACAGACATGCTCATGGACCCCCTCGCCAGCTTAGCCTCGGAACACACAAACAATGCAAGCCTGGGTTCTTAGGGGCGAACCAGTTCGCCGTTTTAAAAGCGTGTGAGCCGTGCATACGCCGCGGCATAGGCGCACCGACCAAGGAGGGGGGACGCCAACACGGTGGAGCCACAAGGGCCAGGACCCACCTTGCTAGCTTCCCCGCCCTTCAATCAGACGCCGCTGCCTGGCGCACCGCCCTGAGAAGAGGCGACCCCCCCCCGACTGAGGCATTCGGCCACCAGGGGGGCCTCCGAGGGGGCTGGGAACTACCTGTCCCGCGAGAACCCCGACCGCGCCCACGGGGCGCCTGCCTGGGGAGAGCAATCGTCGGAACAGACGTCGGACGGGGGGGTCTAGACGGGATATGGCCAGCAGCCTGTAAAGCCCCAAATCGCTCGCTCAAAAACCAATCGAACCCCGTCGACAAAAAAATGGCCGAGCCGCAGGCGCCTCCGTTTCATTCAGCGAGCTACGTACCTGAAGTGTGGTCTGCCCAGGCCCTCGATACTCCACCTGTTCACATTCGCCCTTCAGACCGTCGTCAGCTCGGCTGCTCGGGAACATCCTCACGTGTCGTTGATCATCTTCGATAGCTGCTGGTACCGAGGGCCTGGAGGAGCCGCCCCCGCCTTGTTCGCCGCCTTCATGTGTCCAGCATCGTCTCCTCCAGGAGCACCGCCAACTTGGGACCGCGCGCGTGACTCACCTCGATCGCATATATGACGAGACCCCTGTCCGAGCCCGTCGTCACCTGCTGTGGCTGGTCGTCCTTGCCCTTGTAGGACATCCACCACGGCACCAACGCAGCGTTCTGCTGCGGGGAGAGGGTCATGATCACGTCCGTCCACATGCTGGCGAAGCCGTCCGTCAACTCTTTCTTGCTGAGGTCCCTGCCCGTGCCCCACCACTTCATGGACGCCGCGAACAGCGCCGCGTGTGAGGGGCCCCTGCTCTCGAGGTCGACCTGCCCTCCTGCCTTTACCTTCTCGCGCATGGCCGTGTACTCCTTGCCCGCGGCCTCTTGCTGCCCGGGCAGGCCGCCTTTTTTTCGCCTCGAACTTTTTGAGCGCGACGCCGGCCAGGTCCTGGATCTCTCGGCGATCCGCCAACACGAGGCGCCCCGCGATCATCTCCACTTCCGTCGGTAGCGCAGGCCACGCTGGTGCACCCTGCATGGCCATGCTGCTGCTGCCGTCGGCGGACCTACTGGGGGGGGGGGCGGCGAGGCAATACCTCCCGAGGAAGATGCTGAACCAGATGGCTACAGAGACGGTCCAAATCGGCCTGCTCGACCCCACGCATTCGACACTGCAAAGTATCAGGCGGTACAAGAGCATGGAATTTCCGAGCCCCATCAGGAATGCAATGGCCCTGAACAAAAGACCGCGCTCGATGGCGGCCCGCCACCACTCTAGAACTGAGAACCGTTTGGCAAATCACGCACTTGTTCGTAGGAGATAGCACGTGCCCCGCATTTCGGACGTGATGTTTAGCTCGAAGATAGTTGAGGAGATCACGTTTAGTACGCAATACAGCCTCACATGTTTGACCACCTTCCTCCACCCATTCACGCTTCCATTCCCGCGGGGCCTCTGGAGCAGCTGGGACAGGAACCTCAGGGGGCCGGCAACCTGGAGGAGGCACTTGGGCACGAACCTGGGCAGATCGGACCACGGAGAAGTCAATCTTGATAATGTCGGGCGCCAAGTCGGGGCCCGCGGACCTGCAGGGGAACTCCGAGAGCTCTTCCATGACGAGAGCCCCCTCCCCAAGAATCTCCCAAGCCTCCTGAAACTCCCCCTGAAGACGCTGATCCCATGGGGACGCGTGCTTTGCCGAGCGCTCAAGGAGCACTGGCTCGTCTCTATCCAACTCCAGTGCAGGCAAACGGCCAAACAGTGAACGCAAGAGCTGCTGCTGGCAGTCAGGAAAGCGCGCCATCTGCTGGTGCCAGTTCAAGCGTCGCACGAGCAATTCTTTCGCGCTTGGCACCAGTCTCCAGTACCGCAGCACCTGATCATTCGACCACGTAGCCGTCTGCTCGCCCTCCTGAGACGCGCCCCGACCTGGCCGCGGCACCCGGCAAAAACGAGCCAAATGAGCGTCTATATCCTTATACTGTTGAGGAGTAACCATCATTGCCTCCAGACAACTCAATATAGCATTCTGAACGAGCCCGACCAGGATTGTCCTAGTCCACCTCCAAGGACACTTCAGAGCCCAGAAACCTCCCATCGAGTAGAACCTGGCCGATGCCGCTCCCTTACGACGAGCCACACCAGGTCCTGCAATCCCAAACAACGAAGTATGAGGCCCCAAATACCGAGTGCATCCGTGAAATTCTCCTCCGAGGGCGGGGGCGGCGTGGTGGCGAAGCCAGCGTTTGAACTTTAGGCTCCCTTCTCCCGAGACGTGGAACAGCGTGACTTGGTTGCTTCGGTTTGTTCCAAACCCCACCTCCTCCAGCTCCTCCTCCAGAATCTCATCTGAGCTATGCGTCCATCCCAAGAACTCCGAAATCCTCTGGAGCCCAGGCGCAACCATAAACTTCCAGATGCCGTCTGCGCACTTGAGAAGGCTGAAATTTGTGTTCGTTCCCTTCCACTCGGCCACGAGCGCCCGAGACGTGCAATGAGCTTCCCGGTACTTCCGCGACAAGATAGGCCTGCTGAAGGTGCCCCTGAACAGCGAGACGACGAAGGGGTCCCCCATAGTACCGCCCTCTCCTGGTTGAAGCCACAGGCGGGGGCTCCTCCGCGGTGGGCAAACACATGCGCGATCCCCTATATCGTTGCATCGCCGGCGGGACATCTAGATC